GTGTGTGTGACCCTGCTCTTCCACTTGCCTTGCAAATGCATCACTGGCCCTAGCAGAGGGCAGATCAGAAACCCAATAGCATTGGTTATAATTTACTATAGAGTTCTGTGTATATAAATATATGTATTTGTTTCATATATATGTATATATAAAAATCCTTATATACATAGATGTAAAACAAATATATATGTATCATATATATGTATAGTTTATATGTTAATTTTTTTATTTGTCTAGTGCAAAGGTTTTCATGATTATGGTGCTTTTGGCATCTATTCACAGAAACTTGAAACCTATGATTTCTAGGCACTAAGTGTCATCTCTTACTTGTAAACCAGGTTGTAATTCTCAACATTCCCTGAACAGGCCAAACTTTTAAATGACAACTTGTGTTTCAGTATTACTTCTGCTTTGAAGATTCTCCTTTGAATTCTGTGACATACTTTTACTGGTCTTTCTAGATACAATTGAAATACTGCCTTCTTATTAAAGCTTTTTCAAATTCCTTTCAGGCCAGTCGTTCTTTCCCCTGTGCTCCCTAGAGTATTAGTTTATTCTTTTATTACAGCCTTTGGAACATACTGTAATTATCACTGTATATGTGTGTCATCCCGCTGTCTGGTGAGCTTCTGGAGCAGGTTTTTTTTAAATGTCTTTAACATCTGGCACAGAGCTAGACTTGTAATAGGTTCTCAATAAATGTTCAAATGACTTGAAGAGTACATGAATGAATAAAATATACCACCTCACATTTGAAATGTGCTTGAGTTCTTCAAAATTGCCTTTTCTTCTGTGCTGCTTTTCTTTATCTTCTTCCCTGCCACATGTTCTTCTGTCCTAGCTGGTGGATTTAGAGCTTAGGAAACATGTGTTTGAAGATTTAAAATACAGTGCCTTGAACTCCTTAGAGGAAAAGTCTATGAATAAATAATTAGACTCATTTCACATCAAAATCTAAAGTGTAAAAAAAATGTTCGCTATCATTTGGTGCTTTATTCACTTGTATGGTAATCTAATGGCATATCCATTGTTATCACTGAACTATACTGAAATATTTTACCCTTGAGGCTTTTCATCTGACAAAAGGAGGCTTTTTGAAAATGAAAAAGCATAGTTCCTGTCCCTGGTTTGCTGTGGGGGCAATTTATTAGTTTTATAACGCATGGGTTAATATTTCCGTGTTTTGTATTGAACATTACTTGAAAGAATTACTATTAATATCACCACAGCATGTATGTATATAACTCCTGTCATCTTTGGGGTATGTAAATCAGGAATGTTGCTGAAGAACTACTTAGCATTTTCTTGGGAGTGAAGTGCTTAGTTTTGGAATTTAATTGTAGGTTTTACATTTAAGCTGTTCAGTGTTATTCTTATAAAGGTTCTATAAATTTCTTGCTTTGTAGTTTAACAGGTTTAGTCACCACAGTTGAAAGGCATCATCCTCATAATGAAACCAGAAAAGAATAAAGGTTGATCAAGCAGGGCTGGTTAGCTGGGACATTGAACAATAGAGTTAGACTTCTTCATGTCTGTTAAATTAGATTATGGTGTGTGTTTATCTTGCTGGAGTGATATTGAATTGTAACAGGAAAACGTTATGTTGTGCAGCTCTGCAAAGGGGGTGCACATCCATTCTTACTTCATATGTATGGGAAACGCCATTCTTACTTCATATGTGTGGGAAACGCTTTGAAACACTATTGAAGCTGCTTCAGAGCTTGATGTGTAATGGCACAGACTGGGCATAGTACTAAAACAACTAAAGACAAAAATGCAAAGGCTTTTACGTTTCCTGCAAAATTTTATCCATTGCAGTCTTTCTTTAAAGGGTTGATTGCAGCTTAGGAAATATGGTATGTTGGAAAAATTCAATTTTGAAGAGGTTTTTGAAGGAGATAAATTATATGTATGACTGGAGGGAAGAGTAAGAGGATATTAAGTTACACAGGTGACAGATTTATTCTAAACTTTTCTACAATTGTACTTGATACAGTTCAACTTTAAATATTAATGAAATACCTACTATGTTCTCAGCACTACTTTGGATATCATAGGTGGTTTTAAAAGGTGGGGTTTTCAGTCCTGCCCTGATGAATTTAGTATCTTTATTTATTTATTTACTTAAATCCTCACTGGAGGATATTTTCCATTGATTTTCATATACAGTGGGAGAGATGGAGGGGGAGAGAGAGAGAGAGAGAGAAAGAGAGAGAGATTGGTTGCCTCCCACATGACCCCAACCAGGGCTGTGTATCAAACATGCAACTGAGGTATGTGCCCTTGACCAGGAATCGAACCCGAGCTTCTTTGTTCCATAGGCCAGTGCTCTAACTGCTGAGCCAAAGAGGCCAGGGCTAGTATCTTTTTTGAGAAGACAAAAATTAAATTCATGAAATTGCTTCCTAGAATTGTTGGATGTATGAATGACAGTATTGTAAGCTGTCAAGATCATTTAAAATTTTGATTCTGTTATTATATGTATCATTCCCAGATGTGTCACATGAGCATAGATGATAGGCATCCCTTTTATGTCTTAAATTACTACTAAAAATATTGAAAAGTTAAGGCCAAGGTTAGGGTTAAGAAAGAGCCTTTTTTCTCTTCCCACACTAGTTCTTAGCACATGTTTGTTATTTACTCTTGAACTGTGCATTCTTTACTAAACATGTATAAACCACCTAGATAATAACCTGTTACAGAATTTTGTGGAAATGTATCTTTTCCAAAAAATCAAACAGCATTTCCATAGTCCTGTTTCCTTTTTTTCTCCCATTTGTCATGATTCCTCAGTGTGATTACTGACAAGGGATTACAGGTACAGGTTTTAAGTTTAGTTTGTATGGTGGAATGCAGATTGCCCTGTCTGGAGATTCAAACTCTCTTAAAGCATCCATTAGATTTGATAGTATTTCCTTCCTTCTTGAATCCTGCATTTTCTACTTTATGTTGTTTATCTTTATCCTTCTTTCTTAAGATAATTTTTCTTCATGGAGAAGACTGAATTGAACTGAGTAGCTACACACTTGATGTTCGTTTTTTCTCCCTTCTTTCTTAATGACAGAACCAGAACTCAGGCTTTGTTTAGGGGAAGAATGTGCCCATCAAAAATAAATACTGTCTTGGGTCCCTCGTAACTATGGGTGGCCTCGTGATACATTCTGGCCAATAAGATGTAAGGGGAGGGTGTCAGGTGGAGTGTATTAGTTAGCTGATGCTGAATAACAAATTACCCCAAAACCCAATGGGTTAAAAACAACAATAAGCATTCATTATCTCACACAGTTTTGGGATAGGTAACTCAAGAGAGCTGAACTATGTTGTTTTGGCTTGGAGTCTCTCATGAGATTTCAGTCAAGATGTTGTATGGGCCTGTAGTTATCTCTTAAAGTTTGACTTAAAGGATCCTTTACCACTGTGTCTCACTGCCTCTAACAGTGAAAATAATGCTGCTGCTGCTGCTGATAAGATGATAAAGAAGATGATGATGATGATGATGATATATGCCCCAGGAAAGCAAAGCTAAAGTGTATTCAGCACTATTAATAGGCCAAATGCTACTATGAACTTCAAGATGTTGATTAGAATTACATCCATATTAATAGTCCCATTCACTTTTTGAAGTGTTAGGATAATTTGAGTTCTTGCTTACTGCTATAACTTGCTTTCTTTTATAGAACTTTTGTAATTTGTCTGAGAAAGACATCCTTGGCCTCCATCTGACTAAATAGCCATTGCATACTCTCAAAATTTGACCTAAAACAAACAAAAAAATAGCACAAGATAATACAAAACTAAGTGCTAAATTTGTTATCATCAAATGTAAAACCTTCCTAACAGGCTACTTACATATATTTAGGAAGGAGGGAAGTCAATAACGGTTAGAAGCACACATCATTGTGTGAAGAGGAGGCTGATTGAAACATGACTAGTCCCCAAAGCAAGAGACACGTGGATGATGATACAGACTAAAAAAAGAATTGATAACAAAATGTCTATTATTATATGTAGCTTTTGGACAAGGATTCATGTTGCTGAACAATGAATAAGAGCCTAATATGCATAGATTTCTCATCTTTTAAGCAATATTTTTCCTTATATACAAATAACACATAAAACTATCAAGAGGCTGCTAAGCATAGCATGTTACTTGCATTATAGTCATGGGCTAGGATTGGGGATGGTGTGGGACATTGGTAAGGGGGCATGATGAGACACCTGAGGCCTTAACTGACATTAAGTAGCTCGTTCTTCAGCACATTATGCCCTTTGCTTGGTGGTAGAAAAAGCCTGAAACAGCTTATTTGGGGTGTTAATCTCATGGGAGGTGATGTTTGTCAGGAGAAAGAGGATCTTGGCAATATTCTTCATCAATATTTTTTGTATTTGGTTTGGGAATGTTTGAAGAAAGTAAAATTTCTTGGTTGAAAAGGTTGCTGTATTCAGTCAACAGATATTTATTGAATGCCAATTACATGTCAGGATTAATGGTGTTGATTACTCATAGAGTTTCTTGAATTTGTTCTTTCTCTTATATTCTCATTTACTTCAGCAATCCAGGTTCAGATGCAGCTGCATCTGTCCACCTCTGTCTTCCACCACTTGTATATGCTGGGTGCTGCCATGGCTGTGGTATTAAATACACACATTTTGTTTCAGGTGGAGGCCTTTTATCAATCAGTCTTTGCCCCCGAATTTGTCTTCTGTCATTTCTCATTATAAGCACAAGGATTATGGCTGCACTTGAGTCTTTGCCTTCATTGTCATACATATTCACATCTGGGCTTTTGCTTAGTCTTTTATTCCCTTTAGTATTTATGAAAGCAGTCTATACTTGATGACCCAGGTGTTCTTTCTTTAATGTAACTCAGATTCCTGACAAGTGAACAAAATTCTGGTACATTGAATCAGTTAGGACAAGAGTAAATAGTTTTATCTTCATTTAAGGTCTATTTTAATTTAGTGGATATATGACTGATCTAAATATTACTTTGTTATAGAAATATGGGACCTCAGAATTGGAAAAGTATTAGAGCTCAGAGTACACACTCCTTCCTTGATTTCCAGATAAGAAAGCAAATTCAGAGTGGTTAAAAGATTTGGCTTAGGGCATTTGAATAATAACTAAAAAGGGTAAGATTAAAATTTACATTTTGTAATTCATCTGTGAGTGTTCTTTCCAGTACAGTAACTGATTCCTCTTATTCTTTTATTTTATCTCTCTCTCTTATAATATCTCTAAAGGTAAGAGCTATATTTTTTATTCCACCATCACTATATCTGTAACATTAGATCCATACAATAGTTTTGGATAAACTTGGAAGAGTTTTGATTACCATATAGACGTAGGTGAATATATTAGTCATAACAGGATAGGTTATGCTGCAATAACAAACAGCCTGCCCCCTAAGCTCAGTGGCTTGGAATGCCAAGGTTTCTATCATGCTGCATGTTTACCTTCAGTTTACTGTAACTTTGTTCCATGTTGTCTTCAATTTGGGACCCAGGATGATGGAGCAACTTCTGGAACAATTGAAGGAGATGGAAAACAGACAATGAACCATGCATTGGGTCTCAAATACTTATTTATTTATTTGTTTATTTGTTTGTTTATTTATATTCTCATCTGAGGACATTTTTGCACTTATCTTCAGATAGAGCGGGAAGGAGAGAGGGAGGAAGAGAGAGAGAGAATCATCAATGTGAGAGAGACACATTGAGTGGTTGCTTCCCACACGACCCCCTGGGGACAAACCGCAACCAAGGTACGTGCCCTTAGTGGGAACCAAACCCGGGACTCTCTGGTCTGCGGGCCAACGCTCTAACCACTGAGCAAAACTGGCCAGTGCGGGTCTCAAATATTTTTGTTTGCACATCTTAGAGTAGAAAAATCTAATCCTTCTCCAGGTAGAGGAAGCAAATATTTTTGAAAAATAATATCAAAAAAGAAAAAAAAATCTACTGTGACCTTAGATACAGAGCATTGAGTGACATCTTTTTAGTCTGTGGCACACTGTCATCATTGATCCCTGTATGGCCACTTTTGTTTTTATTTATTTGTTTCTCTGTTTTCTTGTATTCTTATAAAATACATACTGTTGTTTGGGACATGTATTTTAAATTTATATAAGTGGTATTAAGCTAGAGATTATATTGTTTATTGATTTTTTTCATTCAACATTTTAAGATTTTATCTACATTGCTATAGATTCATCCAGTTTTTCATGATGAGCATCCACCACACTTTACTTGCTCACTTCCCTTGATTGCCTTCATTTCTCTACCACAATAAATGATACTGTATGAGGATTTCTTTGGGCTACATACCCAGGAGTAGGATAGCTGTGTCATGTGGCATACACATATTTAACAACTAAGTATTATTCTATGAATATTTTCACTAGCTTTCAGAACTATTAATTCTTGGTGTTATTAGAGTATAGCAATTTAAGTATCATACCTTATAAATCAATATTATTAGTCAAGTCCACTTAACTAAGAACACACATATAATTAAAGTAACATGTAATTCACAACTATAAGGAGATTAACTGATGATGATTTACATGCATATGTTATAATCTGTTCTCAGGCATTATTTTATATTGCTATTAAAATCAGCAAATAAACAAAATGTGGTTAATTCAATGGAGTAGTTTTCAGCAATAAAAAGGAATGAATTGCTGATACATTCTACAATCTGGATAAACCTCAAAAATATTAAGTGTAAGAAGCCAGTCACAGAAGCCTTCTTTTTTTTTTTTTTTTTTTTAACTAATCCTTACCTGAGGATATTTTTCCATTGATTTTTTAGGTAGAGTATAAGGGAGGGAGGAGAGAGGGAGAAACATTGATGTAAGAGAGACATATCAGTTGGTTGCCTCCCGCACAACCCCGACCAGGGCCATGATCAAACCTGCAACCCAGGTTTGTGCCCTTGACCGGGAATCTAACCCACAACCCCTCAGTCTGTGGGCCGAGGCTCTAACCGCTGAGCCAAACTGGCCAGGGCAGAAGCCTACATTTTTTTTTTTTTTTTATACCATTTATATGAACTGTCCAGAACAGGAAAAATCTATACATATAGTAGGTTAGTAGTTGCCCCTGGCACGGGAGTAGGAAATAAAGTCTAAATGGTAAGAGTTGTATGCTTTAAATGGATGAACTTATGAGGCTGTTTAAAAAAAACAAAAACAACCCAAACACCTCAATTGGATCATTTTCCAAGAAGCAGGTTGGACATGAGGTCAGGGTTGACCCCTTGGTTGTGGAGAGAGTAGGGGAATATACTCTCCTCCCGTGGGAACCTGAAGGGGAAGATTAGGACATTGTTGTTCCTGAACTCTATCCTCAAGTTATTTGAAACACATTCATGTTATTTCAACTAAAAGTTTCTGTGCTGATACACCTCCCAGCCCTGACCTTTTGTCTAACTGTTTATAATCATGTCAGGACATTTTTACTTGTGTGACCCACCATTGGTTCCCTTCTCAAATATCCAATTTCTATTATACCCTCAATTTTTATTTCTCAATATTTAAAAATCTTGGAAATCTTTTTGATCTTTTTCTTTTTCAGATCCAACTTTTTGTCATGTCATATCATCTTGAAGTTATTTTTCAAATATGTCTTCTTTTATTCATTAGACTTTATCTTGGCCACAGAGGGAAATTTTTCAAAATTTTAGAAAAGATAGAATTGGCATATTGTTAATTAATATTATTTAAAAATAGCAAGGGAATTTCTTCTTTCAACAGTATTAACAAATATCTGACATAACATGGTTGTGAATAAAAATGGAAAATTTAGTTCTGATTTTTTCTTTGTTTCACATGTCATTTCATAATCACTATAACACTTGTGTTTGTCAAATAAAACTATGGTTGTTTTTAAGTGAAGTATCCAAATCCTTGATAACTAAGGGGTGCTCAAGGAACTTGAATGCTTCAGCTTGAGATGGGTCAGCTTTCGGGGTCAGGTTGTGAAGAGAAAGCCATCACACACACTTCATCAACACTGTGGAATGAGAGACAGTGCCTCTGCCGAGCAGTGGATTTCCAGTGAGCATGTAAACTAATTGGTGGATGAACATGCCACAGGAGCAATGATTTTAAGGTCATAGCAGGCTCAGTGAATAATGCTGACTTACACTGCGTCTCACTGATAGCTGATCTTACCAATGAGTAGTTTAGAGGCATTCAAGCCTGAACTCTCTTCCATGTGCCTTGAATGGCGTGTCAGCGGTCACTGTTTTTGACATCCTTTATATTTGTCCAGTCAGCTCTAAATCTTTAGGTTGGGCTTCAGAGTACTCAGGAAAGAAAAGAGAAGCAATTATTTTCAGTCATTGAGTTTTGAAGATCTTAGCATTAATTGTGCTAAACATTGTTGGTTCATCAACAAATAAAAACGTTAAAAGGCAGTATGAAACACTCCAAACTTGCTTAAAGCATAGTTTAGGGTGATTAAGAATATCTTGTATACACTAACATACATGTAGATGCACTTTCACCCATGCATGTTCATGTGTAGTTTCAAAGCCAAATATTCAAATTAAAGTTATTTTCAGGTTTGGAGAATAAATATTGAAAAGCTTATTCACTTTTAACTAGCATACACTTTCTTATCATATTAAAAAAGAATAAAAATCACAATTTACTGTTTCTATGTGGAGCCCAGGGTAGTCCTTTGTATGACAAATATTTCATTTAAACAAACTTACAATGTTCTAGCTCAAGTAATACTTGTTAAAATTTATCTAAATAATAATGGGCTTTGATTTAGGGATTTTTCTCCCACTTAAGCCTTTAATTTATAAAAGATTATTTGAACATTACAAGTGTGCTTTACCTATTGTTTTTCAATCCCTGTGCTCTCTGACCTGTCGAAGTTTTGCAGAAGTGCCCAATCAAAGGACTTGAGGAAGCAGTACTGAACATTCTTTGCAGTGTTCATCTGAAAATGAAAGAGGCTAAGCTGATATTCTTGTTTGTGATTAAACTTTAAAACTTATTTCCCATGTAAGTAAAATAAGTGAAAAGTAGAAGGGATGTAAACTCCCTAAATCTGCCAGAATTTTTTGTGTTAATAAACACATAATTTTATTGTATCAAAAGCAACACATTTACTTTCTAGAGGGAGTACCATGGGTGGTATTCTTTTCGGAAGTAGAGATTTGAAGTAGAATAGTTGTTTTTCGTGATGTATATGTATTACACTAGATACAATGTTGGATTAGAATAGTTTTGGTTTCTTTTCTCTTTTTTATAGGTTTATTGAAAAATAATCGATATATATCACTATATAAGTTCAAGGTATATAGCATGATGGTTTGACTTATATATATTGTGAAATGATTACCACAATATATTTAGTTAACATCCATCATCTTATGTAGATATAGTTTTGACTTTTTGATACAATAGTGCTTAGAAGAATCATTACCCTAATTCTCATTTTGTGACTCAAAAACAAACTAAAAAGATTTTTGTTCCTTGGAGGTCCATATTCTTTCTAAGTAGGTGATAAAATATATTTTACCATTACTGTCATATATTTCCTTTTATATTGTTATATAATCAGTATATTTAGATTCAGTTGTCTTTATTAAAACAAAACAATATCATAATTTTTAAAAATAGAGATGATCATTTATGAGAATCTGGCTGCAATCAAAAGCAGTAAGTATTATTCTTATAGGATCATTATACTCTTTTTGCTATTCTTTAATTTTGAAAAATAAAATGTTTACCTTTTATTAAAAATTTCTATTTTAAATGAATAGATATGTGATAATACAATCATGATAAAATGTCAATAATAGCATCTAGGTGGTGGGTGTATGAAGCTTCTCTAAAATTCTTTCACATTTGCTATATATTTGAAATTTTTCATAATAAAATTTTTGGGAAAAACTTTCTATTTTAATTGGTGGGCATAGCCAAGTAGCCAAAATAACATTCTTTTTAAAAAATCCTTACCTGAGGATATTTTTCCATTTATCTTCAGATAGAGTGTGAGGGAGGGAGGAAGGGAAAGAGAGAGAGAGAGAGAGAGAGAGCGCGCGCGCGCGCGAAAGAAACAGTGTTGTGAGACAGACACATAGATTGGTTGCCTCCCACAAGACCTTG